AAAATCAGATGACAGTTCGCCATAAGCCCTGACTTGACTGTTAGTGTTCGAGTAAAGAGCATTTACGTCTGTATCCGGTCCTCCTTGTTCAACAGGTACATAAAGAATTCCATATTTTTCGGAGCTTCTCCATCGAGTGTGATTAGGTTGATGTTCTCCCTATTGTATTTGAGGACCTTGCTTTTTCTTTGATGTATAATGAGGCCTACTGACGCAGAGGCTGCTGCTGCAGTAAGTGTGTTTATCTGAATTTGGGATAGAAGGGCTAGATCATCTGCGAAATCCAAATCTTTAATTGATTCTGATCTATCCATTGTATTCCGTGCTCTCCCTCAGATGTCGAGGTCTTGATAATTCAGTCAACCACTAGAAGAAAGAGGAAGGGGAAGAATAGACAGCCTTGTCTGACTCCGGTCTTTACTTGAAATGGATCCATGCTTGACTTGCCAGTATCGTCCGTCTTATGAGTTCCGGATAATATTGTCAATCTTCTCAGAGACTCCATAGCGTCGAAGAAGTTTCCATAATGTTCTCTTGTCCACATTGTGAAATGCTTTCTCATGGTTAATGAAGTTGATGTTTAGTGACGAGTTCTATTCAATCGATTGTTCAACGTTGATCCGAAGTATTGTGATTTGGTCTGTGCACGAACGATCCTTACAGAATCCAGCCTGGATCGAATCCATCGAATGAATACTTCTAACCAAAGGAAAAAATTTCTACTATATGGTTATTAAACATATTCCCAAATAAACTACTTATCACTGTGATTCAATCGAAAAACTTTTCAATTACTGATTTATTTATCATACATGTCATATGATGACAATAAAAATAACTCTCAACCACAGGGTATAATCAGTCATCATTACTTATTTGTATAAACTAGAAAGTGACAAAACCAAATGTCTATTCAATGAATAACTTTTATAGATCTTCAATATGTTCACTCTTTAATAGTTCATCTTAATAAATCATCATATTCACTACCATCTGAATTATTCACTTTGAATAAATAAGTAAATAGATGAAATGAGATGGTCAAAGAGAGAGACAAAAAAAAATTATATCATGGTTCAATGTTTCAATGAACGATCTATTCTCCTTTCCCTTCTTTAAACCATCTGTTTATTAACTTCTTATCTTTTATTAATTCAATTAATGATTATTCGTTTTTGTTTTGTTTTTTTTTCTAATTGGGTTGGTGTATGAATCTTTTTTCTATTGAAGTTTATTCATTAGATAACACCTTTCAATTACTCACTAGGTGGTAATTAATTATGGGCTTATTTAACCTTTATGACTTTACATCAAAAAACAAAAAAAAAAGAAAAAAAAAGAGAAAAGGAAATTATCAGTATAGGGGTTGTGGAAATTGTTAAGTTTATGATTGAGATCATAAACCGAGTGATGTTAGACCATCATTGAAAACTTGGAAGCATTGGACGGTTGTTACGTTCTATTATTACTAATCACTTTAATAAACAAATTCAACTTGACAATGTAACTTAGATTGCCTAAAGGCATAAATCAAATACATTAAAAACAAACACATTTAAACAACAATGATGTTAGATTGTAATAAACAAACATGATATTCTATGATCTGAATAGACAACAGGTGAAACACTATTGATGATTGAATATTAACCATATTGAATTGAAATTCCATTATGTTGAAGATTGATCACGTGGTTGTGATCATATTGTATTTGCCTTTAGGCTTATTATATAATCATAACTCAATGAAATGTCGAATAAATTAGAAGATGAAGAACGGGGTAACTATCATTGAAACGATTCTAATTATATATCTACATCTTATTGATTTGACATTTTTTTCTACATAAGCTAAATGATATGTGCATGTTACTTTGACAAAAAGAGATGATGATCATGTGAAAATATCAGACGAATCTTTATGAGTAACTTTCATAGTTCAGTTCAGTTCAGTGGATGAATGGGATTCATTGAAATGTGTGTGTGTGTATGTACAAATAAATGGAACAGATGGATGGAATTGTAAAGAAAACAAATCTATTGACTTCATTCATTCATGTTTCAAAGTAAGTTATTTTATTTAAAAACTAATGTAATTAACAAGAGAAAATTCTCTTTCAGTGTAGAGATAATCGAATGTTGACAACTAATAAACATTTATATTGTCTAGGACACATTTTTGGTTGTCGAATACTGTTCTTATTTCTACAATAGTGATAAGTAAACTTGAATTGTAACTGAATTGCCACAAAATGCCTTGACACGGTCAAGGGTGGGGAGGATCAGCTCTCCCTCTCCAAATGCTTCCACGCAGCCACGTGCATACAACCACTGCCACACAAGTCCAACTCACTGAATTCTCATGGCATTACTGTTGGTTACGAAATTGAGAGGATGAAAAGCGAATTTCCGGCATTTTAACCAGGTTGGTGGATACGGATAATTCACCTAGGGAAGTTGGAAAACCTTCATTACAAACCGATGGTGCACATGGACTACAGGACCCTAAGGAAATAAATGACGTATGAACTTATTACTGGCCACCGGCTACCATGAGACTGCATCTCCTGACGTTTCTCCACTGCCTTGTGGATTAGACATTTAGGTCGAAGCTTCGGATTGTGCACTCGTGCAGTATCCTATCCCTCACACAAATCGAATGATTTATGCGGCGCATATTTATTTGCTGCCTTCTTGTATCAATGTTTATGTATTGAAATAAATAAATAACAAACTTTTATTCATCAATGTATTACCCTAGAAATTCAATTAGGTAAAAAGATAAACATGTTTTAATTTGATCTTGTCATCTTTTTCATAGTTGTATATGTTGATGGTATATTAAAATGCCTAAATAGCGCATTGAGTAGTGTTATATCCTAGTCAAGATCAAATTACGAGTAACTCCCTAGATCTATTAATGAACTAATATTATATATATATTCCTATTGTATAACTGCTCAGTAACTAGATTATGTATATCTACATTCCTCTGAATATAAGCTTCGTTTTGACCTATAGATTATTATTATAAGATTTACTATTCTTAAATTGTACTCAGCTTATTGATTACAGTCTCCCATATTCACAGCCACTTTTTGGCTAGTTCTTGTACACATGTTATTTCCTATTTTATAGTGTGATGTGGTCTGTTCGCCTGGTATATAAACCAATTATGTTTAAATAAATGATTCGCGTAGTAGAAGCTGTTATTGACGTTCAAGACTAAAGTGGACAACCTAGGCGAATGTAGGACCAATAAGGACGCTAGGTCACTCATACTGGTCAAACGTCATTGGCTTGACACAGTGCTAAGAGTGTATAAATTGTATTTCGATTGGCGGACAAATCACGTGATAATTAGCCTGATTTAAAGTCACAACAAAGTAGCTCTTTCAAACTCATCTTAATGAGTTTAGTAGACTGAAACAGTGGCCATTTAACAAATCGAATCCAAAATGTTATCATCTTGAACTGGACATTTAATTCGATTCACAAGTATAAACTTAGTTTATTTTGAACGGAAAATTATCAAAGGTTATTAAACTTATGTTAAGACATTAACTGACCTCCTGTAAAATGGTATTTGAATCAAAAATGCCATAACATCTGATTCTTAATGTTGAACAATTTCTAAAGGTTAATTTTTAGTAACATTCGAAACTCTTTCAACCAAATTAAATTGGCAATAGACCCTAGAAAACATGAAAATGACTAGTAACTAGTAACCAAATCAAGATCCTTTTCATGATTAGTATCAATAAACTTTAAAGTTCAAGTTAACATACTACTTGTCTTATTGTTCCTATAGTTTTAATTGCAATTTTAACCATCTATTCACGACCACTAATTAAATCGAACTAAATCCCATATTCAATAAAGTGAGTAAATATTCAACATAATTCGATACACACTTATCAATTGTTTTATATCTGTCATCTTTGTAAGCAATGGCGGTCAGCTTTCCTTGTCCTGTTATTATCCTCTGTTTTTTTTGTGTAGCTGCATAATTTAGTGTTTCAGTGTGCTGAAATTACGCGGTTAATGTAATACTCCAAATGTTGTCGCAAATTCTCATTGAATCAGTTTTGGTTTTCTCGGTTTTTGTTGCGGCTACTCAAGTCAATGCATTTCTTCAGGCACGCTCGCTTGTTTTATGTTATAAAAAGTTAGTCCATTTTGTTTTGAGTATTGTATTGTAGATGATGAAAATCAAAGCTTTTTTTAGCTAAAATAAGTGTTGCTGCCACCTGGGATTTTAACTGTCCACGTGTTCGTTCCTAGCTGTCATTTATGGTGTTATCAGGAGCAATAAAAGAAAACGATCTCTGGTTTTTAATTTCCTTCAGTATTATGGACAGCCCTATCCCATCAACGAGTCAAATTAATACTGAGTGCTCAACCGTAGGGGATATCAGTAATGTTTTCGAAAGGACCCAGAAACTTGACAACCATAGACGAAGTCATAGAAGGGTTTGATATTAAAAACATACCATATAGCAGTAATAGATGAGTTGTACTCACTACGTCGTACATGAAAGTAAACCTAATACTGAAAAGCCGGCAATCCGCGACTAGTGTGTAATGTATGTTTGCTGTTTTGTTTATAAAAGGAACACGGAGGGCAATGATCAGGGAGTTAAGGGGTAATTGATTGTTATTATGCTCACTTTTTTATAGATCGAAGTTCACTGGTTGCAAAGTTATGTTTCTTTTATAATATGATGTTAACCAGTACATAATATCTCCACTCTTGTTAATAAAAGTACTTGAAAATTTCCTGTTTATTCGAATTATTTTAAGACAATTTTCTTCCATTTTGATTGGTTCGTACGCCAACTGCACCTATTGGATAATTTCAATTGGCCAATACTAGACAAGTAAATATAAACCAATCATATAACGAATCAACATAAGCTTATTTGTATATAAATGAACAGGAAACAGTCACTAAAATATCATTTAAGATTTACAAAACGGACTAGTTTACGTTTCTCTCTATGAATTACACTGTAAATAATTTAGGAAATACACAAAGAAATTCCATGCAACTTAAAGATTCTGATAACGATTTATATAAAAATGTCAATTTTGATAACATCAATACTGATTCATTAAATTTAATTTCAAAGAGAACTACTCCAATAAGATCCAAATCTCGTTTATTGAATAAATTAATCAATAAAAGGAAACGTGAAACCATGCAGTTACGTAATCCTAGAAAGAAAACTAATAATAAAACAAAAACTGGTCATTCAGATTTCTTGGGTGTGGATTCGAATATGTACGATACTCATAATTCAGAGAACCATACAATTACTACTGATATATTACCTCCAGTTACAGATGAAGAATTACAAGAGTTACGTTTAAATATTAATCAGCGTGAAAGACAAAGAATGCATGATTTAAATTTAGCCATGGATGGATTGAGGTATGTGGAAACTGTAATTTATTTGATATTACTTATTTTAATTAATTTACTATAACGACTCCTTAATTGCAGAGTCAATGTAAAATGACAGACATTGCCGTCATTCGTAAGATTAACCCCTTATGCTTATAGGAATTGGGCAGTATAAGTTATGATTATCAACAACGGGAAGATCTAAATCCTTAAAATATTAATTTTTTTGATTCAGTTTGAAATAAGTCAATCAATTATTGATTGTCATAATATCAGGTAAGAAGAAACTAGAATACTTCCTACCTTGAAGGCAGTTACTGGATAATATTTGTGTTTGACATTCATAAAGAAATATCCTTATTTAAGTACAACTAAACAATAAACATTAGCTAAATATCTTGATGTACAAACATGTTATTTCAGATACTTCAGAGGCCCAAGTTTGTTTTCAAGAAGGTGGAGAATACTTTCTGGAATCTCACTCTAAGAATAAACTAATTTTAATTCAATCTTAATTCTGAGTGATTATTAAATCATGATAAGTGAGCGTACTATTGTTTTATGCAGATAACACAAAGGATTGCATGATAAAAATCCTTCTGCTTGTTTACACATTCTATTAGTCATTTTGAAATAGAACTTAAAAGACTTTGATGTTTTCCCACTGGACTATACTGAATCAATTGGTGTTGTTTTACTTGTATATTTCCATTGTTATTTAGGAGTGCAGTTGATCAGTGTCTTGTTTGCATTTGTATATTCTGTGATGATTGCCTCAATATAGACTTAAATCATAAGCTATTTAAGCAATGATTAATAGTGGCTAACAGTGGAATCCAGTTTGACGCGCGTTTCATCCTATTTGGGACTAGTCAGCTGGATGTACCTGCATCGCAGAGTTGATGTTCACTCTGCGACTCGAACCCAGAACATACACACTGTTCTGCTACGATCATTGTTCTAGGTTTAACTAAAAAGAACTTGTGACTTTAGGCTATATCGAGGCGATCCGCGCAGGATGCACATATGTCAACAAGAAACTGATCAACTGCATCCTAAATAACAATGAGAAGATACAAGTAAAACAACACCAAGGGAATTTAAACTTCACCCATTGCCCAAGCAGGTGGCTATCAGGATTCAGTAGCTAAGTGGATAACGCGATGGCGTTTGAAGAGAACGGTACTAGGCTCGAGTCTCGGAGTGAACATTAACTCTGGTATTCAGGTACTCCCAGCTAAGGAGTCCCAAATATGATGAAACGCGCATCCTGAATTCTACTGCATAGACACTATCCATCTTTGCTTAAAAATTTGCTTAATCAGTTTTTAAATAGTACTAAATTTTTGTTTACTCTTTGCTGAATAGATCACTAAAATTAGGTAGATTTCATGACGAGTCTTAACATTCAAAAGTGACTATCAAAAATACCATCAATAAACGATTAGTTATAAGAGATTCTTTGGTTTCTAGGCGATCTTATTTAACGAGTATGCAGTAAAATTCCTTTATTAACCATTATGTAACCACTTGTCTTTCAAGCGCCATGTTTTATGCTTTTCCTAATTGTTTTTCAGTAAGTAGATTATATACATTGATTTAAACGGTTATTCTTTTATTTCTAGGTCTGTGTTACCATACACACAAAATTCATCTATGAGAAAATTATCTAAGATTGCAACATTATTGTTGGCAAGGAATTACATCCTTCTTCTTACAAAAAGCTTAAATGAACTACAAGAAAAGTTAGATATTCTATCGAAAAGCCCTTCAGTATGTCAATATGAATCCATAAAACCAACTAATCCTACTGAATATCCAAAGCCAACTGTTTCTACTGATTCAATAAAATATTTACCGATAGTATCTTCAGTAAACTCCTCACTATTTTCATTATCATCACCAATCCTCTCGTCATCAGTAGCAAAATCAACTACTTTGTCGCCTTGTTCTTCAACTTCATTCATTTATCCAACATCAACTATTTCAATGTTACAGTCAGTAACCAATTCATCTTTGTTTGTACCATCTAGGAATCATCAGTACAGACACAAAAGTGATGAACAAACTGGTCAGATTTCTATGCCTATACAAGATGATAATGATAAAATTAATATTGTATCCAGCAATTCTATTTATTCATCACTAAAACCATTATTTTCATTTCTTGATCCTAATTTAATGAATAATTTAATAAATGATTATTCTTATAATAAAAACAATACCATTCTCTTTGATAATCATCTTAGTAACAATCCATGTAGCAACAATCATAATGATTTAATACTTGACAATCAAAGTACACATTTCAAGCATTTTGATTCACCTTCTCATACTATTTTATCTAATTATTTATCTATAGAAAAATTCATTCCATTCAATACAATGAATAATCACTTAATAGATCCTCAATTAAATTCAATATTTAGATTAAATTTTATACCTTCATCAAGTATTTACTCATCATCTCAACATACTATATAATATGTAAATATGTATAGGAATCAGTAATGTTTACCATATTTCTTCTTCTTCTTCTTCACCTTCAGAGAATAATTTTCAAATGTACAACACATGTAAGACTATTTCTTATTGAATGAATATTAAAATGTTTATTATGTTAAATTAGTCGATTTTTAAATAAACAGACTTTACATGTATAAAGTTATTTCTTTAAAAAGTATCAATACCTTGTGCTCACTAGTGACTAGCTTCATGAAGAAATTCTCGGAGTTCTAGTGAGAAGTTGTGACCAGTGGAGTTAATCTGTGTCGGGTAGAGACAGGTTTCTGCCTCAATACAATGGAAGATGGTCGCGCAATTTCGTGGATTGGTTGAAGTTAGACATTAACACCGTTGGATGCCGGTTCATTGGTCTACATGTTAAGCGTTCGCGCGCGAGACTGTTGCGTCCTGGGTTCGAATTCCGCGAGGCGGCGGGGTCGTGGATGCTCACTACTGAGGAGTCCTACAATAGTACGAAACGGCCGTCTAGTGACTCCAGGTTTTCCATGGTGATATAGCATCAATCAATTCATGATCTCAATCAAAAAATTACTTCCTTAACTTTGATAGCCCTATCCAAGTGGTTCGATAGAAGATATTTTCATTAATTCCTTAATTAAAATGGATCGATTTTTTATCATATACATACATGGTCAGTGGAAAAAGAGGAAGTGAGGAATTAGAATATCACTTGTTTGATAATCACAAATATTTGCCTACAAAAATCACTAACTTACTTCCACCTCTTGCCCCCCCCAAATGGAGCATAGGCCGCCGACCAACATTCTTCAGCCCACTCTGTCCTGGGCACTCCTTTCAAGTTCTATCCAATAGCTGTTCATTCTTCTAATGTATTTCTCCACTTCTCGGCGTAATGTGTTATTTGGTTTTTCTCTCCTCCTTCGGCCTTGAGGATTCGAAGTGAGGGCTTGTCTTGTGAGGTAGTTGGGCGCTTTTCCCAATGTGTGTTCTATCCACTTCCAGCGCAGTAAGAAGCGCTGGTTTGTACCCTCTGCCTGAAGCCCCTCTGGAGCTACTGCCGATCTCAAGCCCGGGTAAAGAAGGAGGGTTGGGTATGTGGTTAGTGACCCATCCCGTAGAAAACTAACTCTCTAAAAAAACGCTAACCAGAAAAAGTAATTCTGAAGGTGCTTTTTTCAATCTGTGGTAGTTAAGTGATGACTAAAAGTAAAACATGTAAATAACATTACAAACAACAAAGAAAGGGTAAATTTGATGTGTAAATATGAGTTTCAATGAAGAATATATAGATTTGTGTTTTTTGAATAGGGTTTTTGCCATCCTGAAGATGAACATGTACACAAATTATGTATATACACATATATCTAATACTAGACTGGTCCAGATAGGAATTTATTGGCAATAAACTTATTCAAATAAAAAATCCCTTCATACATAGTAAACCTACTAATACATAGATTTCTTATTTATCCTTTTGTCCATGTGGTATCATATTATCTTTCTGGTCTTCTTCAGCAGATCATCTCACTTTCATTTGAATTAGATCTTTTTCTTTGGATTTAGTTTGAGTATAGATGGGGAGACGTATACTCCTAGATCATCTTAGAAACTGACTGTTGTGTCTGATATTTGACATTCAATTAATTGAGGTAAGTACTAAACAACTCAGATTTCATTTAATGTAACTACTAAACATATAACGAAAATATTTAATATTCTGGAGTTCAGTAATGATCGTCCTTTTAAGTCACCAAGAAAAACATATTGCAATATCCATGTAGGTATTCTGATACATTTGTGTCCGAAGTATTAAATACCTGGAAAAAAACCGGTTCGATGTACAGATTCTTGATTACATGCTTATTTTGAAGCAAACTGCATAGGTTGTTTATTCTTGAGCATTTCGTAACATACCAAAGGGTACTTTCTGATTTACGTTAATAAAGTAACGAAAAGTTAGATATTAACGCTTCTGGAGGCCGGCTCAGCGGTCTAGAGGTTAAGCGTTCGCACGCAAGACTGATAGATCCTGGGTTCGGATCTCGTGAGGCGGGATCGTGGATGTGCATTGTTGAGGATTTCCACAATAGGACGAAACAGCTATACAGTGCTTTCAGATTTTCCGTGGTGGTCTAGCTTCAATTGACTTAATTGATCTCAACCATTAAAATTACTATAATATCCACAAAACCCCTTCTGGTAATAATAAATTTCACAGGTTGAAATCATGAGTCAATTGAAGCTAGACCATCATGGAAAACCTGGAAGCACTGGACGGCCGTTTCGTCCTAGTATGGGACTCCTCAGCAGTGAAATTTTTAAAAATCTTCACAAAACCCATTCTGATAATAATAAATTTGTCGAAATTCATTTTTAAAACTTTGGAGTTAATATTTTTGCACCGTAAACTGAATTTTGTTTAGATGGTCCTAGGCGAAAGAAATTCTTTCCAAACAAAAGTGGTTAAAGACTGGATTTTACAATACTACTGAATAACAAAGTGCCGAATAACACGAAACCTAGATTTAGGGTATCCAGCCGACTACTTCCAAGCATCACCTCATCTTGTATTGTCCGTTGCTATGTTAAGCCCGCATAACTTATTCTAGCTTCTAGACAAGCCAGTTTATCCATTCTATTTGAATCACGTTTTGACCATGTTAACTATTCACTTATCAACCTTGACTGCTTTTATGTAAACATATAAGTGTTCATTTCCTATCTTACTCATCACATGTCTGTAACTTAGTTTTGTTCGGCTATAAATATCGATTAACGTTTGACTAAATCTAGTTGGCCTTCTCCTTTGCGCGCCATTTTGTTTCACTTCTCTCTCTTCTTCTTCGCTTTCATTGCTGCGTCACTCTGATTGTTTGTGCAAAATATACATATTCGCAATCCATTTTCGTATTTGATTCCGTTATTCATCAACACGGATTAAGTCGATAATTATACACAAGGATAACCGACATATATATTTCAATAACAATCATTCATACGATCGTTCTAGAGTCAGATATAGGATTAACAAAATCTCAACATACCGCACGCGATTTAGCCACATTGCAACTTGTTCGATAATGTTAAATCTACACTCAGAAAGACTTTACACATCTACACAACATTAGTCACTACACAGTCAATTAATAGATCATCAACACATAACATTTTATACTTTTTTCTGGTTAACGTTTTTGTTTTCTATCGAGTTAATTTTGCTATGAGATGAAGTCGTTAACCTCATGTCTAACCCTCCTCCTTTATCCGAGTTTCAAACCGTCACAAACCTCAGGAGTGCGGGGGGGGGGAGCGCTCCAGGCAGTGTTATACTTACACAAAAATAATTCTAACTGCATTATGTTTTGAATGAATCTCTCATGGTTACGTCCATTTAAACATTTTAAAATGATGAATCAATTTATTAATTTTTTTCGTGTTAAACCATATGTTTCATTGCTCCTAGATAAATCTGTAAAACATTTTAGAATACTATAAATCAATAAATCAATATTTAGTTGCCAAGGTGGACTGTGTTTTTTTTGTTTTAAAAATAAAGAAAGAAAGAAATCAAATAATGTAATTTAAGCGTGTTTTTTTATAAAACGAAATATTTTTTTATATTCTGTTAACGATTATGGACATTGGATACTTTTTAGAAAAAATATATATATCTACTATTATCACTAAGTGTTATAGTTTATTATTTGTTCTTACAATTTACCAAAGTGAATAACCCTACAGGGCATGTACATGTGTATTATAGAGTTATCACTATGCGAATATGTTAGATGATCACGAGGCTCATTATGATTATATTGTTTCAGAAAATGTAAGACATATGGTCAATACTGTTATATGACTAATTGAGGATAATTCAATGAAGGTTTATAGTATATAATAGTTTGATCAGTAACAAACATTTAAGAAAGATCCTACAATCGAATATAAAACGTAAAGTTACTTCTAAATGATAAAAGAATGCAGTAGGTTTGGAGTGGGGGATTTAAGGAGCATGTTGGATTTTATAGTTTACATCATCGACTGATTTTAGGTGAACAACCTGTAGTGACCTACGTTTATCAAGAGAACGCGATTGGTGTTATGGAAACAATTATTATTATAACCAATTGTACCAAGGATTGTTTTACCGTATTTGTTTGTTTAACTGTACCAAAATACATACATTATTTCGTTGATTGTGACCTTGCACGAATTCCGTTACGCTCAGTAACCACACTTGTAACCTGGCACGATCTCGGTATTCTTTCGATACCACGAGATCGCTAACAAATACATCTCGACTACAGCCATCAACTGCCTTCTGATATTGGCTTACGGGGGATCTTATCGGTTAACTGGCATGTATTCTTTCTGTAGTGGTAATCATAGTCAACCGCGACTCGACGTCGCACTACAAACCAATGAAAACCAGGATGAACTAGACTGTTGTCTCATCCTTGTATGTGACACCTTAGAAGTGTGAATCCATGAACAAATATTTAACTTAGTATGCTAGTCATAGTAGCTATGCCGAACTCATTCTAACTCCCACGTGAATCATTCTAATTTCTGAACAGACTACTCCTTTTTATCTTGTCAGTTATTTTGGACACTTGGCTTTGTTAATAAGTCACCTAGATCGTTCAGTATTTTTATAGATGTATACTTGGGGGTACGTATATGTCTGGTTACTTCCTATGTTTCTTACATGCTTATAAAAATTAAATCATCTCAATATTCTCTGAGTCTGTGCATTACCGAACTGCAATACTTTACGCATTCTCTGTACCAATTATTGCTAATATGTCGTTTATTATTTGCATGTATGAAATAGACGTTTACTAGATACAACTTGTATTCGACTTTTATTATCTATATTACTTGTTAAACTGATTAGTTAATAGGGTATATACAGAGTAAATAAGGATACATGTTTCATTAGTACCACCAGTTATTGTTATTATTTATTCGAAGTAAACAATGAGCCATGAAACATT